CTCAAATTGCATAACTTAGATCGACTTTCATGCATAGAGTAGACAAGGCCTCAGCATCTTAGGCCTTGTCTACACTAAAGGGAAAAGATTTAAGCTATGCAATGAGTTACGTGAATAGTGTAACTCAAATCGACATAGCTTAGATCTACTTACCATGGGGTCCACATTATGTGACGTCAACGGGTCTTCACTAAATTTACCGCTGATGTATCGATCATCACAGCGTTGATCCTCCAGTAAGTGTAGACAAGCCCTTAGTTTGTTTAAACTTTATCTCCTATATTTTCAAAATGTTACATGGGATTTTGGCTGTGTGACTCATTTAAGGTCAAAGGTTGGTACATCGCTATAAATCAATAGTTCTTAACATTTAGAAGGAATAGTTATTTGTAGACTATGTTTTGGAAGTGTCTGGCTGACTTATTACATGTGTATGTGGTCTTGCTTCATGTCCAGAGAGATTACTTGGTTTAGTGAAGCTGATCTTTTTTCCTCTAGCAACATCCTGCATATGTGAGAAATGCATGGCAGGAGAATGCCCAGGGCTATCTTTAACTCACGCACCAGATTTTGGTAGGTTTTTTTGTAAACTGATCACTCTTTGGAGTTAGTTTGGGTCACTCAGTTTGGTCACATTAATCCTGTTTCAAGCAGTGCCCACCCATTTCTGTGGTTGTATATCTTCCTCTTGTAACTGTCAACAAATTTGATAGCTGTGATTTCTACAAGAGCATGGTAACAATTTAATGTCAATTATTTGTAATAGCCAAGTATTTCACTTCTGTTATTTAACTTATTCCAAAGTGGAGATATCTGTTGTACTCAGCACTTAGATGCAAAGATGATAGGCACCTTTAAAATTACATTTGAGAGTGACAGAAGAAAGAGCCTTAATGATGCGGCATGGTTCTTTTCTCCTAATTATTTGAGAACACCCTAATCCAAATTTACATTCTCCATTAAGAGGCAAATCTTGCTTGCCTTGATGTCATTGAGACTATTTGTGTGAGAAAAATATCATGTCTTCAATGAATGATACATACATCATATGGTACATTGCAAAATTTAACTTGTGCTTTTTTCATTTCTAAAGATACTTTATGGTTCAGAAATTCTTGTAACATCATATGTCTAAATATGATCTACAGTACATGTTCATACCAACATCTTGGTCTGTAACTTGGAGGTACTTTCAAATCTTCTGGCTTTCCTGTATGATGGTGTTTGCACAGGTGGGGAATTTTCATTTGAAAAACTAGGCGTGCTTAGTTTTCATAGCACATACACCGAATAGGGTCCTTATGTGTTGTGTCGTTTTACAAGTAAGAGAAAAGGAAATCTATTTGGAAATGGTATTGATGCCCTGCATGATGATACATCAGGCAGATACTTTTTGTACAGCCATGCTGCCTGGCTGGAGAACGTCACTAAGTGTTCCCCCTTGAACTGCTTAATTGGTAAACAGTTAACCAGGCATATAATATTTCAGAATGTAAATTCAGGCAGTGCACTTTTGCTGCACCTTCATTACACTTCCTGATTGTGTAACAGACAGGCATTTCTCTGCATCAGTTACTGTTCCTGCTGTCAACAAATAAGACGTAGTTACGGAGATAGATTCCACATCTCATCATGTAATTTACTGTATCTTAGCAACAGCTACTGGTACATTAATTCCTTGTTAGTAAAGCGATATAGACATACAAAAATTGCATGGAGAAAGTTGCACAAAACCACGGTCCTCTATCATTGAAGCTAACAGAGAGCTCACTTAACTGAGGGTAGCACATTCCTTATACTCACTATGAGACAGTCACTAAGAACACTCACATGTGTGCATAATGCCAGTTTATTACAAATGTTAGAGTTGGGTTTAGAAAGCAGGTGTTCCTGGCTTCCAATCCTGTACTCAGCTCCACACCTAAATAATGTCGCTTAACAGTCACAGCAATCCGTGAAATGTATTTACACAGAGATCCACTCCTATTTCAGAAGACAGAGGAGCAGGCGTATGTAGATTTCCAGAGCAGTGCAAGTGTAGTAGCACTGATGATGATGCATCTAAGCAAGACATAATCCCCACATGTCAACAGACAGTCTCAGTATAAAAGCCAATTGGAAGAAACACGCAGAGATTTTATTTGAAACCAGATATCAATATTCTGTTTCTAAGGTCTTGTTAATTACAAAGAATTTTAAAATATAGGAATCAGATGTAGAAAAAAGGTCTCTTTAAGCTACTAAGTAATGGATAATGTTACATTTTTAAAAGATCTTTCCACCTTTTCTGCACCTCCTGAAGTTGCTGTAAATACACCACTTATGTAACAGTCCTTCTACTTCGTCTACAGCCAGCTGGTATAGCTGGGTCTTTGATTTTTCTCTTTTTTTTATATTTTGGAGGAATTTGTGAGTAGCTTGATGTATTTGACATCTATGAGACATCTTCTTGTATATGAGAAGAGCAGTGTGTTATGCCACCCAGCTGTGTGTATTTGTCTATACATCAAGCTGAGGAGCAGCACTTAGCCAGATCTGACAATCAAGTGTGAGCTAGTACTACCCACACTCAAGAGTACATTGTAATGTTGTGTGCTTTTGCCAAGAGCTTGGCATTTGACAAAAAAATTGTCAGATGTGTTTCTCCTCCTCTGTCTGCTAGCCTTGAGTTTTGATTTTTGTTTAGTTTAATATACTTTTATTGTATGTTTCAAAATCAGCAAAGGCAGCCTACTGTTTTCAATGTAATAAATAATGTTAACATAAAAGTCATACAATGTTTTTTGTAACATAAAAGAATGACTGTTTGGGAATATGCAGTACACTAACATGTCTGCCAACTTAATCTAAAGTTACATTCTGCTTGGTTTCACCAATGACTCATAGTCAGTTTATAAAGTGTCCCCAAAGAAAACTATAGACTGAGAGATCAGAGTACATTTCTAGTTTGTAAATGTCAATGCTGTTCTTGTCAGTCTAGTTAGGATCAGTGGATGTCAGTCAGTGAGTGGTGATATTATTCGTCTGTGCTACCTGCTCTTGGTTCAGACTGACTGACGGACCAATCTGATAACCATAATACTTCAGTGTTCCCCTCCACAAGTGAAGCATACATTTTATTTGCCTTATGCTATAACCTGAGGACAATAATAGTGAAAATTTGTATTTTGTCTTTTATACCCTAGCATTGCATTTGTGTTCTTAATAGTTTATCTTATTTTGTCTTTATTTTCATTATAAGATCAGAGATTGGTCTGTGTAATATTTTCATTCTTCTCGGATGCAAACACCAGGATGGGGAGGATCAGTTTAGGATAGCACATGGGACACATTAACCAGGAGCAATGGGATGTGATTATAAAAAGGGAAATTTAGTGACTATCAAGTAAATCTTCTTGACAAAGAAACCTTGTAGCCTGTGAAATATTCTAAGCAGGAAATAGTAAAAGCCAGATTAAGACTAGAGAAAGAACTGTAGGTGTGTAGGGAATAACCTTGCAGTGGCAGAGGTGAATTAGAAAGTATAACTACTAATTTTGATTTTTTTAAATTTGATTTGAGCTTGTTGATTTGTTTCGGTTTTAACATTGTTATAAAATGTATTATGTTTCTGATTTCACACACGTGAACATTTTTAATATGCAAAAAAAATTAAATATTTCTCATAGTTGTGTTTTATATGGTGGAAAATATTTAAAGAAGAAATATATTAAGGATTTGAAGCCACTTATATTCAAGTATTCAAATGCTACGGCTAACTTTTAGCCTCTTGTGGCATCTAACTGCTGTTTAGTATCATCATTTTTATTAATTATTTGTTAATGACCAGTGATATGCTCAGAACTGCACAAGAGAGACACAGATGAGATGCACTAGGATAGGCAAAGGAAATATTGACCAGGAATGTTGAGCAGAATCTTATACTTTCTCAATATTCTCCTCTTATATCAGGTTCAGGCAGAGATGGAATTTGATTGATGTGGCAGAATGTGCATGGGCCTGTCATGGTGTAAAAATTATTGCTTCAAAAACTCTATGGCTAATGCCAAACTCTCTCTCTCTCATGGTCTATGGTATTAACTCCATAATAAACACACACAGTATCAGCTATCTATTTTATTAAGACACACATGCAGGAAAATTATGGATTATAGACCTGCTTTTCTTAATCGTTTTCTTAAAAGATAGGACTATTAAGTGGATTACAACCAAAACATTCTCATTTTACTCAGAAAGCTGTTAGTTCTGTCAAATTAATTGCCCCAGCCACTCAGAAAAAAACAAAGATAAAAGAAAAAACGTGAGATGGAAAAAGGAGGGGAAGCTCTTCTTTATAGTCAGGTGGTGGATGACTATTAGCTTCAGATTGGAGTTGTTATTTCCTTGGGCAGGCATATTTCCTGGTCCACATTGAAGTCAGGTTGGAAGATTGGATTGGAGACAAGGTAAAGAGGACGAAGTTTCCTTTTCTTTTCTGGTTGGCGGGAATAAACAGACACTATATGAGACACATAGTCTAAAACAAAATTCAGGATTGTTTAGAGTAGGTTATTAAACCACAGCCTGGGGTACACTAGGCTTTACACCCACTACACCTAGAATTTGAAGGAGAAAACAAAGAAAAGCAAAGAAATAAACAAGATCCAGCATTTAAATCAGGCAAAGTTCTGCAGAATCTTGAAGGATGAGTGTACTTTTTCAGTGTGTAAGGGAGGTTCTCCTAAGGAAGAACTGAGGATACCAAAAAGTACTGTACTTAATCCTCTGAAATTACTAAACTGAAATTGGGGAAACTCAATTAAGTGGACAAACCTCAATTAAGATGAGGTTGCATCTACTTCTCCTTGTTTAAGATGTGTTTTCTTAAATTTTGGCTAGTGAAACAATACTAACTTTTTACATTTTTTTAAATTCCTAATGCAACTAGTTTATTATTTAACTGCTATTTGCTTCTTTGACTAATTTCATGTCATACTTTTTAAAAAAAAAAAAAAAAACAGAAACAGAAGCTTCTTGAGGAACTTGGAGAGAGTTGGCTTCCATATCTGACACCTAGAGATGCCGAATTCCACCAACTGGTATTGTATCTTATTTTTAACCTTATTTGTAGTAAACTTGATTGAGCATTCTTATCAAATAGCAAACCAGTCTTTATTTATTGGTGCACTATTAGAGCTGACAAGACTAAAATGTCACTTCTTCTAATTCCTTTCTGAGGACTAGCATAGGTGAGGTCCTGGTGTATGTAGCGTTTGCAGAGCTGCACTCAGTGGAGAGTGAAATCCTTCAGCACTCAGGACAGAGCAGAATCAGGAACCTTGGTGTGAACTCCTTCTGAAGCCAATGGGAGTTTTGCCATTGACTTCAACAGGACTAAGATTTTACCTTTTGATCTTTAGTTCACACCTGTAAATGGTAGCTCTAAAAGTCTCCTTTTTAATCTTTGTTTAAAGTAAAAGCTCACATAACATATAAAGAACTTTCTATTTTTGTGTTTTCTTGCAATTTGTGGTCAAGTGAATTGTATGACATTGATTTGCAATATCTCATGCTTGACTGGAGTAAAAAGAGCACAGGGAGTCACTGTTCTATCAGAGGTCTTCATGATTTAAACCATCTAGAGAACATGTGTTATAGACTGGATTTGGCAAAGATGAAGAGTCTTTAAAAGTGAGATTTAGAGTATGTTTATGCTTATAATTCTAGTCACAAACAATACACAATGGTTAAGACCTGGCATAGGACCTGAACTACAAAAGCCAGAATGCATGCCTCAAATGAAATTTAAGGAAAGCTAAAACAGGCCCACTAGTCACATAACTAAACCAAACTAGTATACAGAGGCATAGCATTAAAGAACTAGAAGAATACTGCTACATGCATCTTGGACCTTTCTCAGGTCAAACTGAAAACATGTGGAAAGAATTTTAAGTTCAGTAAAACGAGGTTGGAACACATTCAGTAAGATGAAAGACATAAAAAGGAATCTCTTACTTAGCCTGAACAACTAAAGCAAGAGTTCCTACATTACAGCCGTGTCAACTTTCTTGTATTGACATGTGGCTCAAAGATGCATATAGTAGCAAAAAAACAGCTTTGGTCTTGTGCAGCGGGAAGGAAGGGTATTTTTTTGCAGGAGCTCATGGACAAGAAGAATTTTAAGATGGCAGCTTTCCACATTGCAGAGAAGAAGGGTGATCTGGGTTCAACTCCTGGCTCAGTTTTACAGACTTCCTGTGTGATCTTGGGCAAGTCACTTGATCTTTCTGTGCCTTACTCTCCATCTGTAAAAAAGGGATGATTAATATTTCCTTTCTGCTCTCCTTTGTTTTTCTCATCTGTTTTGAGGCCTTTGGGGCTTTTGCTGTCTTTTTACATATTTGTACAGTGCCTAGCACAATGGGACAGAGATTCTATTGGAGCCTCTACTGTAATAGAAATAATAAATAGTAGTAAAACACATGGTGGACAAACTTGCTACCAACAAAAAAAGCACTATCATGGAGCGCTTTTCTTGTCAGCGTCCTTCTCCCAAATCAAATGAAAACAGCAAACAGACTTCCTTTCCAGGGTCTCACCAATGTTCAGTAAAAGTTCTTGCTCCTTTTAGTTCTTGTCCGACCCAATCACCATTTTCTCCTTCCTTGATCCTGTTACATCTCCTACCATCTGTTTCCATTTCCTTTGTATACCAGCGTCTGGGCCTGATAGCTTGAGCCTAGCTGTGTCTCCTCCACACTTCCTAGCCCATCCCTGCAGAGGTGACAGGGAAAGACATGGTTGAGCGGAGGCTGCCAAGTGGAGTCTCTCAGCATCCATACAGGTAGAAGGGCTTTGGGAAGAAGATAAGCAATCAAATTAGACCAAATTAAAGTAATTAGTGATATTGAAAAGATCAAGGATCTTACATAAAGCCTATTGAAGTCAACTGAAAGTCTCCCATTGACATCTGTGGGCGTTGGATCCAGAACCAAATGGATAGAACTGATTGCCAGAAGGTGAGAGATAACAACTGAAATTTTATAGCCTTGAAAGGATTATATTGAGTAAGTTTGCAAGGTATGTACATAAAATATGCCTCCTGTTTAGTTTATGTGCAGGCATGTGCATTTGCACATATATGTGGTATTGATAAACATCAAACACCTTTCATTTAATAACCATGATAGGAAATCTTTTAAAATCTTTCTTACTTACTTAAATAGCCGCTGTGGATGTCACAAAGTTCCACTCTTACCACTAATATTATTTCCGTAGTACCTACATGTACTTAAAATTGGAAAAAAGGGAGAGACTATAGAAAACAAAATAACAAAATAAAACAAAATGCATAATGATGTACTGTAGATTAGTCTGTATGGCTTTCCTTGTTTTGTCTTATTTAAGAATCCCCCACTTGTGAGCAATGTAGTTTGAACAAAATGATGTTGGGAGGGTTAGGCAGAATATCATTCAAAAGCTGCTACATGCCTACAGGCATGAAGATATACTCTGAGCACAGTCCTGAAGTCCCTACTTAAAAAGTACTTCCATTGCACTCCCTTTTCAATGGGCATTTTTTCCGATCAGGGATTTTAGAATGGAACCACAAACTGCACCCAGAACAATGTCCCTTTTAGAAATCAAATAGTGAATAGCATCTGAGAAAAACACTAGAAAAAAATCATAGTAATAAATCCCAAATGTCTTCAATGAAACATAACATGTCATGATGTGAAATATAAGTGCCAACTTGCTTATCGGGGGACCTCTTCACTGGTTTGCAGCTTTATTCAGGTGCTTGAGTGGTGGGGTTATCCTGTGTCTTGAAAACAAATTATGTGTTAGACACCACAACATGGCTGATTTTTAAATTCTGCTTATGTAATACACATATGAAAAATTAAGCACAGAATGTTCATGTTCATTCTTGAAGTTATCAGTGACATAACTACTTCTAGCAGTGTCAATACGAACTGACCTTTAACACCTGCTGTCAGAGTTACAGCAAACAGGACGTGATTCTTTTGAACCAACATGGTGGCGTTCAATATTAATTCAGTGTTTACCCTGTTTTCTGATGCTTTAATGCTTTCCTTGTGCAGGACATAGAATGATGGCTGGTTGGAGATTTAAAGAATACCAAACAATATTTTGAGATGATATATTTAAAATGTGTTTCCATTCCCTGTTTTCTTCTGAGATACCACTGTATGCTTCTTAGCGTAGAACTCTAAAGACACAATGTAAGAAATATTGATAAAATAGTTCTTAAGCATGTAATTTTAGTGCACAAACCAAAGGTAACATGCTTCTGATTTGGCTGACGTTGAAATGTGGAACACATTACCTCCATGTCCTAAAAGGAGAGTGAAATATTGTTGCATTTGAGTAAGCTGTGCATCTTCATCTCAGATGTGTATTTTCAGACTTCTAATTTCTTTGTAGCATCTTGTTTGATTCTGTCCTCTTTCTTTCTTTGCTTGAAACTTTACTTGTGCGATTCATGTAACAACTTCAGTAGATTAATGGTGTTTTTAAACTGTATTAAAATATACAGTGCCTTCCTAAATTTGTCATGATGATGCATATGATTTGGCTATTGATTAATATGAAAGTCTAATTTGGGCCTCATGTTAAAGTTGTGCAAAAAAATCTAGCAGTGATGCTACACAAGAACTACTAAAGCATTATATTTATTCCTTAAGTATTACTTTCTGCAGAGCCTTTTATACCTGTGCACAATGAGATCAGATTCTGTGGCAAGAACTAAATACTGCAACAAGCACCCCTAGATTCTGTAGTAGCATTAAATATTTTATCTCCATGAAATAGCCTTCATTCCCATCCTCATGTTCTCAAACACACACACACGAATATGGCTCAGAGTTGAAAATACTCATTGACATAAAATTCCTCAATAATTATTTTCAGTAATGATTATTATTAATGATGTTTTCACTGTATTCTTCAGGCAGCTCATGGGGCTCAGCATTCATGTGGCCTAGCTCAGAGTCTCCTTCCCCACATGTGCCAGGAAAGCGGAGAAATGGTCATCTTCTCAGCCCTTTGGGTCTTGGCTGCTGCTCTGTTCTCCAAGCAGCTGAGCTCAACTCCGCTTACTTCATCTCACCAGTCTGTACTTTTGGTCCTCCAGCTTTCTGGCTAGAAGCTGGATTTTAGCTCCAATACCTCAACTCCCTGTTGCCTGCTTCATTGAATGGTGCAAAGACCATGTTTTGTAATCCAACTAATTTATCTTTGTGGGAAAAGCTGGGGAGCAAGAAGCACTTACAGGCAGGTCCCAGCAGGACAGGTAGATTGAAAACAAAATGTTGATGACTGGGTGCAACAAACTGGAAAATTCCATACTTGGAGTCTTTGATAAAGACAGATTGTGCAACCTCAGAATCAGTGTCTCTGGAGCTCTGATTGAGATCAATGTGGCAGATGACATCTTTTAAAGGTGTTGTGCCAGGCTCTCTGCAGACTCAGGAAGACAGTGCTTCTCCATTTTACTCTCAGATCATATTTTAAAGGTTTTTGTTTGATTTTTTAATCAAAGATGGGTTTCCTAGAGCATAGTTCTGCAGCTGCAGGATAGTGGAATACCTGGGGCCCTGTTCATAGATTCTGGCCAACATTTTCAAACTTTAGTATCTAAAGTTAGACACTTAAGTGGCTTCATTGTCAGCGTTGCTGACCACCTGCAATTCCCACTGAAATCAGATTTTAAAAAATGCTTCCTTGGGAATTTTTGTGGATAATCTTGTGAAACCTTTAGCATACAATATATTTAATTAATTTTAACAATTACCACCCAATAGTGCCATAGTTTATTAATCAGTTAGATAGTATCTAATGCAACCCCATTGTTACTGCTAAAATAGTATTATTTGGATGCTTTCTATTTCAACTCTTTAATAACACACGATTTTCAAAACCTAAGTGTAATAGCAAGTTACAAAACCAAGTTTAACCATTTAAACTTGGAGAGACAGAAGATGGAAATATAGTTAGGTAGAGAACAGATTCTGAGTTATACCTTTGATGGTTAGGTGATGGAAAAGTGGTTGTGATTGTTGTTGGTTCAGGCAGGAGACTGAGGCTTTTTTCTTGGCTGAGCAAGAACTCAGGCTAAAAAGAGGATGTAGTATCTTCTGAACCAAAGTTTCTAATAGTAAGCTAGACCCAATTGATTGATGGACTCTTCCCTTTCTTAGTGGCAGGGACCAGTGTTAAGTGTTAAGTGGCAGCCTCTGTCCAAGGGTAAATAGGATTAAATTATCAGAAGGAGAAACATCAAGGCCTGGAGGTAGGAAGTCTGTAACTAATCCAATTAAGACCATTATTTGGAGCAGAATATAAAGTAAATGCAAAGGGAAAGAGGGACACTGAACACACACAGTGTAAAGATGAACAACCACCAGCCCTTAAGTCATTCCTTAGTATTTAAAACTTTCAGTTTGTACATGCAAAGAATGCAGAATGTTGATCAAAGTCTCTACCAGATTTTCCCACTAGATGTGTTCACTTAAAAAGCCCTAGTTTGTAAACTGAATAACTTTGGAACAGGTCAGGATCATCAACAAAAATCCTGTTCACAAAACAAAAATCCCATGTTGCTTAAGTGCTTTCATTGTGATTGTTTTTAGACTTTTACCCAGAGTTCCAGGATAACAGTTCATTCTACAGGCCTTAAATACTTTACAGTCACTTCTCTTTAGGTAGGCAAGAGGCATCTCAGATCTATAATCTGTTTGCAGGGAAGTAGAATGGGAATCCCAGAGTGTTTCAAATAATACATTAAAATATTTGCACAAAATAAAAAACGTTGCTGTTGATGAATTTTACGGTATTATTTCCTCACTTTATTTATATGGGTGTCATAACCTTAATTTCTGAGAGGAATATTTTTTAAAGTTTAACCCAGCCGTACTAGTACTGTATTTTTTGTGCATTCCCTGTTGCAACTAGCAGCCTTCCAGGTTAGGGTTCAGCAATGGTCTCAACTGCTGACATGTCTCACAGAGGGACTGCAAGGACTGGGCTTTTGTTTTGTTTTTTTTAGGAGAGTAAATATAAAGATAATGGTCTGACCCTTGCTCTATAATGGGGGTTCACAAACTTTTTTCACAGTGTGGCTCAAATCCTTAGATATGACTTGTGTTATGGTCCAGGTCCTATCCTATTTGCAATCATTTAACATCCAGTAACGACTGCAGCAATGTCAAGGTCCAGTTTTTTTCTCCCAGAGATTTGGAAAGGGATGAGCTGATATGGAGGGGATATTATTTTATTTTATCATGTCAGCTGTGCATATTTGTATATTTTTTTCTTGGAGTAGGACAAGCAGCCTATTACATGTTGTGAAAATTAAATTATACAAGGCTGCTTATAGCTTTGGATGGATCTCTCTTCGTATTTTATAAATCTAAATAAAATAGTGTTCCTTTAAGAAGCAACCATGTACTCTCTCTTGTTTGAGGCTCTAAGTGTTATGTAAGGGTGTATTTAAAATGTGATTAGATTATTAATAAAGAATGACATGCTGATTTGTGCCTCCTAGATTGATAAAGGGGAAAGGAAAGGAAAGGAAAAAAACCAAGACGGAGGTACAGCCCTATTCTACAAATGGTCAGCCCAATTATTCGTGTATTGGATTGATAACCTTAAAGATTTAATTTAACTGCACTGTGTTCCTTTCTTGTGGTGAAAATTGAAATTAATTGGCAGAGTCCCCCTCTCCCAGGATAGAATCCACCATATGGCCTGCATTCTTTGTTCCTAGATATGGCTTTACCTTTGGCAGTATTGAAATGCATATTGTCAGCCTGTGCTCAGTTTACCAGGCGCTCCAGATCACTCAATATCAATGACCTGTCCCCTTTATTTACCATTCCCCCAATTTTTGTGTCCTCTGCAAACTTTATCAGAAATAATTTTGTTTTTCATGTCATTGATAAAAATGTTAGATTGGTTCTTGGCCTACACTATCTTTGTAAAATCCCACTAAAAACACAGCTGCTTGATAATGATTCCACTTTTAAAATTACAAGTTAAAATTAAAAGTTAGCCAATTGTTAATCCGTTTAATGTGTGCCATGTCAAAGTTGTATTGTTCTAATTTGTTAATATGTCATGTGGTACCAAGTCAGATGCCTTTCAGAAGTCTAAATATATTACATCAACATTATTACTTCCATCATCCAAATGTGTAATGTCAACAAAAATATGTATTACATTAGTTTTGCAAGATCTATTTTCCATAAACCCATGTTGATTGGCATTAATTACATACCCTCCTTTAATTGTTTCTTAATTGAGTCCTGTATCAGCTATTCCATTATAATGCCCTGAAATGACGTCAGGCTGGCAAGCCTATAATTTCTCGGGTCATCCCATTTACACTTTAAATATTGGCACAACATTAGTTTTCTTCCAGTTCTCTGGAGCTTCCCCAGTATTCCAAGATTTATAGAATGTCAATATTACTGGTTCAGTTGCTCCTAAGCCAACTCCTTTAAAACTCTTGGAGGAAAGTAAACTAGACTTGATGATTTTAAAAAGTCTGTCTTTAGTGGCTGCTGTTTTAACATCTTTCTGAGATACTAGTGGAATATAAGGTATTTCATCATCAAGATATAAATGTATCAGATGGCTTTTTACCAAATACAGAACAAAAATATTTATTAGATACTTCTGCTTTTTTTGCATTGACAATTCTACCATTTCTGTCTAGCAGTGGATCAGTATCATGGTTAGGATTTCTTTTGTTCCTCATATATTTAAAAAAAAACTCCTTATTGACCTTAATTCTGGTGGCCCTTGATTTGTCCTTGTGCCTTTTTTGCTTCTTGAATCAATTTTCTACCATTTCAAGCGTCTGATTTATGTTCATTGCTATCAGCTTCCCCTTTTTTTCATTTGTTCGTGATGAAAAATACACTTTATTTTTTTTTGTATAGTTGTGTTCACCTCTCCCCTAAGCCTGGTTGTTTTTTTAACCAGTGTAGCTCTCCGTTGTGCATTTTTAGGTATCAAATAAAATTATCATGGAGAAGCAGTGTTGCCTAGTGGATAGCTCATTAGCCTGGGATTCAGGAGACCTGTGTTCTATTCCCAGCTCGGCCACTGGCCTGCTGGGTAACTTTGGGCAAGACGCTTCACCTCTGTGCCTCAGTTTCCCTCTCTGTACTATGGGGTAATGATACTGAATTCCTTTGTAAAGTGAGTTGAGATCTACTGATAAAAAGCAAAGGATTATTACTACTCAATTTTTTCTAATCAAATTCTTTCTTCCAGCTAATTTGGCTCAATTGTTTTCAGCTTTCTGAAATTGGCCCTTTTTAAAGCATCAGTTATACATATGTGTATATTTCTGGTTTGGACTTTATTCTGTGTGGGTTGGTGTCCAAGTAATGTACTCCAAACAGTTGGCTGTTGCCAATGTATATCTAATACATTCTATCTATCCATTCAACCTAGGCATTTATATATGTTCACCACAGTGGTATCTAAGTACTAGTTTACATGTTAAGAGATTTTGGACTAATACAGTTAGAAAATGCCAAAACTGAAAAAGAACTAAAAACGCATTGAAAATGTACATAGTACAGATTACAGTACATGTTGTGCTACACACCCTCCAACTGCACTAAATTGGTTTATGACCAATCCAAATCTATTGGCAGTGCTGTTAGATAATGGTAGACTGTGCACCTATGTGTTGGGAGGAATGCAATTCAAATGATCCATCTGATGCCATATGTAACACCAGCTGCCCTAGCTGTTTCACTACTGCAGGAGTGGCCAGCCTGAGAAGGAGCCAGAATTTACCAATGATCATTGCCAAAGAGCCACAATAATATGTCAGCAGCCCCCCATCTGCTAACCCCCTCCATCTCCCAGCGCCTCCCGCCCACCAGCAGCCTCGCCAAGCAGCACCTTCCCTTCCCTTCTCACGCCTCCCACCCGCCGCAGTCAGCTGTTTTGTGGTGCGCAGGAGGCTCTGGTGGGGAGAAGCGAGGGCATGGCAGGCTCGGGGGAAGGAGTGGAGTGGTGGCAGGACCTGGGGCAGAGCGGGGGGTTGAGCGAGTACACCACAGCACATTGGAAAGTTGACGCCTGTAACTCCAGCCTCAGAGTCAGCACCCACACAGGGAGCCACATATTAACCTCTGAAGAGCCGCATACGACTCCGGAGCCACAGGTTGGCCACTACTGCATGATGAGCAGATCTTAACCACAGAGCCTGACACACAAAAATGTGGTGGGGAGGGGAAAACCTCTGCATTTGTGCTTATTAACCTCCCTAAAACAAACAATGGTGGTCAAAATAATAAATGGCACAAACGTGCACTAACTGAACAGGAAAATGGGGCCAAATTGACTCCTTTCACAAGCTCCTATCACCGTAATAAAAATTTTGCAAGAATTATACAGGAGAGTAATGCTACAAAGCTTTGCCCACATCACCATTAAGGAATTGCACAACACAGCTGTAGTCACCCTTTTTCCTCCCTGCCCCTGTCTTTCCAGAGTTGGTTTCTTCTTCCTACTAAGCTGGAGTGTAAGAGTCCTGAGGTCAATATTGGAACTGATCCAATTTGCCAGTGTTCTATCTACAATGTGGCTTCCTTACCAAATGTAGCAAGTAGTCATAACTAAAGGAGATGGCTCGTGAGCCCAAGCCTTGAGTTTGGAATACCTAGAGCCATAGCTTTAAATCTTAGCAGGGTCAGCTCAGTGCCCTCATACTTCTGAGGTAGATTAATGGGTTCAGTGCAGTGTTTTGTGTGTATATGGTGTGCTGGGTGCAGGGGGGTAGTGGTGGATTTTGGATGAAATCTTTAGAACTGAAGACTGCTCTGTGGCCCTTTACTTAAAATGAGGGGTTTGACCTTGTGGTCTTTGTCCAAATTTTTCCCTCCCTCTACTGATGTGCTTGTGCAGCATCCCACTTGACTGCTGTATTTCAGAGATGCTGTATGTATATGTTTTGTAAGGTACCTTGTAATGTTAAAGTACTAAACAAATATAAAGTATTGTGTCTTCCTTACTGCATCACATTCTAGATTTACTTTTTAGAGAATATGAGCATAGCCTTAAAAATACATACCTGGATATTTAAAATATGTTCTGGTTCTTACAAAAATAACAGATTGGTTATTTGTTTTGTTTTTTAGTGGAAGACCAGATATTCCAAACTCTTCCTCAGGAAAGCTTATAAGATACCCCAAGAACTTCATCACATAGTGCAAGAAGCCTTTTTGACCTTGCAAAAACATGATTGTTTCTTCCAAGATCTTGTAAGGATCAAAGGAAAAGATTTTCTTACACCAGTATCTCGTATATTAATTGGAAACCCAGGATGCACTTACAAATACTTGAACACAAGACTGTTTACTGTTCCATGGCCTATGGAGGATTATGAAATAAAATATTGTCATCCTGAATTATTTGCAGCTTGTAAAGCATTAATCAAACTTAATGACTACTTGAATGTAGAAGCCGTCCAGGCTTTGCAAGAACAAAATTTATCTGAGACCAGAGAAACTGAAAATACTGCTGTCACAGATAGAGAACAGGATTTTTCTACTTTTATTAAGGGGTCCCTCTTAGAAGTTCAAAGCAGTCTTTATACACCAAGGAATGACTGCACCAGTCTTAAGTACAGAACATCTTATAACTTGACTTTATTGAATTATATGGATCCTCTACAAATGCCGTCCTTGAAACAAGAGCCTTATTTTGGAATGGGGAATATGGCAGTGAGCTGGCACCACGATGAAAATCTCATTGAAAAGTCAACAGTAGCTGTGTACAATTACAGCTGTGAAGGTGAGTAGTGGGGAGGTAGCACAATATGATTTGGCAATTGGTCTAAATGCTTTAATGCCTGAAGCTTTTTTATGTTTTACTGTGTGAGCATACGTACATACTGTGACAAAGCTCTGTCCTTGCCTCTGTGGGTCCCGCGTTTCCTGGCGGATTTCGCTAGCTTCAGAGGCTCACTGTGACCCTCCACGTAACCCTTCTCTCTCTAGGGACAAGGGTCACAGTCTACTGAGCCATTTTCATCATAAGCCAGCAAGGGAGGTGAGGAGAAGTTATCCTTCCTTGCACAGTCTCTGTTGCTTCCCAGTCTCAGTGATTAATCAGAGGGCAAAGGTGTGTGTGTGTGTGTGGGGGGGGGAAGAGCCCAGGCCCACCCTCTACTCCGGGCTCCAGCCCACGGACCCTAATAGTATCAGCTATGGTAGCTGACCTTTTAGAAACATGACATGTACAATTCCCTGGGCTACTTCCCCCACAGCAGCCCTCACTTCCTCAAGCTCCACTTCACCCTTACCTGAGGGCCTCCTTCCTTGTGCCTGATATGGTGTGTACTGCTCAGTCTCTCCAACAGCACAACTTCCTCACACAGCTCCTGACATGCTCCCCCACCTGCCTAACTGGGAGGCTTTTAACTAGTTTCATCCAACCCCTGATTGGCTTCAGGTGTCCCAATCAACCTAGCCTTCTCCCTGCCTTCTGGAAAGTTCTTAATTGGCCCCAGGTGTCTTAATTGACCTGGAGCAGCTTCCATTTCACTTAACCTGGTACCAGGGATTTGTTTAGCCTGGAGCTAATATATCTATCTCCTACTACTTTTCTATAGCCATCTGGCCTTGCCCCGTCACAATACATACCTGCAAACCTGCCTGCTTGTCCAGATTTGCCTCTTGTTTCTGAATATATGATAGTAAATAACATTATCTTTTCATGTGTAAGCACTACTGTTACTTCTACCTTTCTTTACCGAAGCAAAATACACCTATGTTTACTGCAGCTGGCCCTATGCACAGTATTAGTAAGTGGATTGAAAAGTTGCTATAATTAACTTGCTGATAAAGAGCCAAGAAAACAAAATCTGTCAAATCTCTATCCCAGGTTCCCACAGGTGCATATTTCTAGTCTGTAAAATGTTTTATTATAGTTGACACCACTGTCTTTAGTGGAGTGATTTGTCAAATATGGACTTGTTCTGCTTCATGCTGATTTTACTACTGTCCTTTCTTTGCAAAGAACATGCTGGCTTGGCTTTATATAAAGGTATTCTTATGTTTACAGAGAACTATATAAATTCTTGCCCAGGCCTGCTGTCGTGTTACATTGTCTTGGAACTCAACAGCCCTGTTGTAGTTAAGAGGAGGGGTTTCTGATAGGATTTCCTTTGTAAATACTTGTTTTATGTCACTTCATACAGGCTCTTCTATTAAAAATCTATTCAAACATAATATGAATTATGTGAAATGTATAGATCTAGAGCAATGAAAATAAAATTATCAGTTTTTCATGGTTTAAAATACCTTTTGCCTCTTTGTCCTCTGTTGAAAACTCTGTGTATGTGTGTATTTAAAGTACATAATTCTGTCTAAGGCTGAGTAACTTTCAGCATCTAATCTGAGGGCTACTTTTTTCAAAAATGGCTTCCAGTCTGCAGGCACAAATGATAGAATACATCTAAAGGACATGATTTGTAGATGCTGATGATCCACTACAAGTTCATAATTAGAAACTGAAACTATGGGCTTTGCTGTACCCTTTGAAATGTAAGAAGACTCACATTGACTTAGTGGTCTTTGGATCAGGACCATAGTGCATAGGCAGCTGCTGGTATTTTTACGTGTATTTTCTCACTTCATATTAAATCCTAAACTATAGCTCATCTTATTATATAACATTTACATTGTAATGGGGTTGTTTTTCCCCCTCACACTGTACACCCTGTAATGAAAATACCTCATTTGCCCAAGTTTATAAGGAACTTTTTTCTGGATTACCTAACAAAGCTGATTTATTTATGAAAGTGTGTTTCTAAATGTCACCCCAGTTGTATATATGATATGGATGGTATACATATACCAAATAGCAGGTGGCCAAACTGCAGCTCACGAGCCACATACAGCTCTTTTACAGTTTGTGTGGCTCGTGGAGCCCCCCATAATTTCCCCCATTCTTCACCTATCAGATTGGGGAAGGGGGGAGATCAGGGCTTCTGCCCTGTGGCGGGGTGTGGGCTAGGGGCTTCTGTCTAGTGCGGTAGAGAGGGGCTCGCAGCTTCAGGCTGGCGGGGCATGCCTGCTGGGGCTCAAGGCTTCAGCTGAAGCCCCGAGCCCCAGCAGATGTGCCCTGGCTCTCGAACTTCTGAAGATTAGCATATGCGGCTCAGAGGGTCAGTAAGTTTGGCCACCCCTGCCATATACTTATATGTCCAGTAAGTTAACACTACCTATTGAGATGATAGTGGGTTGTTAAAAACACGCCCATTTAAATAAGAGAACCATAAGCATGAGGCAAAGCGGAAGTGTTCATGCACTCTCATAACACATGAAACACTCTCTACATTAATGTAAGCCTACTTGTGGAAGTGGATGAGAAAACTGGGCCCTTTACATTCAGCCATATTTGAGTTAACCATAGAGAAAAGGGTCTTGCATTTCTTCGTAATTAAAAGCTGCCTCTGGATTGTTATTTTACCCAATGGTGCCTACACAGAGTGCAGCACATAGGATAAGTAAGATCATCCCATGTTTTAAAACCACCATAAAGGCCAAACCAAGGTATGGGTTAGAATATGAAAGAGTTCTTTGGTTGAAAACAGACCCTTTATTTTTTTTATCTGTTTTTTAGTGTAATATAGAATGTTAGCACACATTAACCAACCATTGTATGAGACTATTATTACTTTTTTAAAAAATGTGAGCTACATAAAAGAAAGGTTCTGCTTAGAATTAAAAATCATTAAAGAATTTAAAAGTAGAGGCAAAAACTTCCAAATATGAGCCATTTTCACAACCATAACAACCATTTTATCATTTTATTTTTTTAAAAATGGGAAGATTACTTCAGATTTGAAGTTTGTTCATTTTCTTCTCCAGTGCATCTCAAAGCCTGACTTTGACACATGTGTTAATAATGGTCTCTTGGCAGGACCTGGAAATCTAAGGAGTATCACTTAACTGGAGACAGTATGCAGAAGGACAAGAAAAGATTTATTTATTTATTTATTTATTTATTATATAGAAGTAAATGTTACTAAACTGGGACCTGATTCTGCAAGGTGCTGAGCACCTCCTGATAGGTGCCAAACACCACTATCTTCCAGTGACTTCAGTGGGAGTTGAGGACACCTAGCAGCTGCCAGGAGGCACTTAATACCTTGCAGAAAATGACCTTTAGTGCACTGGTATGTGATAGCATTACACTGTTACAAAAGTTTCTCCCTGTCCAGATTTACTAAGTACGGTTTGTCAGTAGTCTTATTGTATTTCCCTGCAGTAAAGCTACATAGTATGCAGGAATAGCCCAAGCATTTAATTTCACAAATCCAAGGAAATGGGTAAACTTTTAAAAACAGTTACTACTCCTTAAAAGGTTAATTAAGCAGCAAATAACGTTGTCAATTAATGTTGAATATATACACTTTTTTCTCCTCCTTCATCCAAGAAGCTCTCATTGTCTGAAAAATATCAGACAACTTAAAAGAACTGTTTCTGTAATTTTCCTAGTTATAGTTTTTAACTGCTGGCAGTTCTGAGCCGTGAAAATTTTTGATAAGTCTATCAATATTAATAAGACAATACTTTGCAATTCTATAGCACTTTCAGTTTGTAGATTTCAGCAATTTGCTGTAGTTGGCAAGTATTACCATCTCTATCGTACAGATGAAGTAACTGAAGTACTGAGAGGTGATGAGGGTCACACAGTAAGTCAGTGGAAGGTTCTTGAATAGACCACATTCTTGAATAGACCACATACTCCTGACTGGTTTCAGAGGAACAGCCGTGTTAGTCTGTATTCGCAAAAAGAAAAGGAGTACTTGTGGCACCTTAGAGACTAACCAATTTATTTGAGCATGAGCTTTCGTGAGCTACAGCTCACTTCATCAGATGTATACCGTGGAAACTGCAGCAGACTTCATATACACACAGAGAATATGAAACAATACCTCCTCCCACCCCACTGTCCTGCTGGTAATAGCTTATCTAAAGTGATCAACAGGTGGGCCATTTCCAGCACTGGAAATGGAAATGGCCCACCTGTTGATCACTTTAGATAAGCTATTACCAGCAGGACAGTGGGGTGGGAGGAGGTATTGTTTCATATTCTCTGTGTGTATATAAAGTCTGCTGCAGTTTCCACGGTATACATCTGATGAAGTGAGCTGTAGCTCACGAAAGCTCATGCTCAAATAAATTGGTTAGTCTCTAAGGTGCCACAAGTACTCCTTTTCTTTTTGCGTATACTCCTGACTGTATTCCCATTCTCAATCTCCTAAACAGAAGCTGCCCCGTTATATGTCAGTATTCCTTATTGGTATTTAAAACCGATCCCCATTTTACTAATTACAAGCCTGATTGTCCCTGCTAGTGTTTGGTGTGTTTTTACTAAACGAGTGAAAGCTACATCTAACTGAGTAGAGCTGTTTGGAAATTTTCTGATGGAACAGTTTTCCACCAGAAAATGCTGATTCAACAGAATTGAAACATTCCACAGGAATTTACTGAATTTGTTGACATTCTAACTGAAACTAGGCAGGTTTCTGTTGCTACCCCATGATCTCAGCTCCTGAGCAGCCTATTTGGCAGGCTGCTGCCAAGCCAGGGCTCCCAGGCTCCTGGCTGCTCGTCGGGGGCTGCCCTGAGAGGCGGGGAGTCAGCTGCCCAGCTCCCTGGGCTGCCTGACTCACCTGACTTTTTATTTTAAATGAAATTTAAATTTGTGTGTAATGCTTTAAAGGTATATAATACAATTGTATTTATTTTATTTTATATTTTAATATATTAAATTTAATT